TTTTTTTTTTTTTTTTTTTTTTTTTAACTTGGGCCTAATTGTCCCTCTCTTCTATCTCACTCTTTCCTTGGCCTTGACTTTCGTAACTATTGGTGCCAGGTTTTGACATATCCAGCCCCTGTCCCACTTAACTACCCCTTTGCAAAACCATGATCAAAGTATCAATGGTGAGAAAGGAGTGAACACTTTACAAGGGAGCAAATGCAGGGAGTAAAAAATAAACAAACAGCAAATAAACCATAAAAGACTTTAAAAAGTTACCTGTGCAGAAGATTGGAGGAAATTAAAGGGGGGGGGGGGGTTTCTTTGTTCAAATCTATTGGCAACCATATTGCTGGATTTTTTTTTTTTTTTTACATAGACATTACTTTTTCATTGGAAAAGTAAAAGTAGGCGGAGGCTGTGACTCCATTGCCATTATTAATATTACTAGCCATTATGACTTCATCAGCATTCAGCTCATCTGATTCATGAACTCATTTAGCAGGTACAGGTCCATCTTCTCTAAGTCTGAGCTTCCCTCACCCACGGGACTATTTCTGTGGCTCTATTGCAGCCCCCATTTATCTGCTTTTCCACAGTTTTGGTTTTCTTTTTGAATAAAATACTTGCAAGACTCATTGCTTCTGTTGTTACCAATTTTTGCTTCTTGGCACCGTTTATTGGGCTAACACCCTGACAATCCGTGATTACTTTGTTTCCTAAGTAAATTAGCCTCTTTGTTTTCGCTGCTCCTCATTTCCTAAATTACATCCCTGCTATTGCTGCTAACGACCTCACAAGTCTTTGAACTTTGATCCATCTCCTGTTTTTGGTAACCCCCCCAGGACTGAAAGAAGCATATTGGTAAACCGTCTGAGAACCACCACAGGCTGGACCCCCTTGCAAAGTCTTTCCTTCCTCCCGAGGGGCGTGGCAATATCTTGACTCTCTCAATGATATGGGAAAATACTCAAAAACCTTCCACCCTAAATTCCTTCTCAGAACTGGCTGCCAACATTCTGCGTGTTTGTGTATCACTCAACGCATAATGTTGACACCACTGGCCTGTATCTTAAGAGCGTTTTCTACACAGCCACCATCTGCATGCAAATAGGATGCTCTACCCGCTCAAAGTTCTCTAAGAATATGAGAATAGAAGATGACCACACCTGCCCAGTCATTTGCTAAAAAGGGCAATGAAATTGAACCAAAGAACAACCACAGATTTTTGTCCCACAGCCAGTGTCGAAACATGTTTAGCTCCTGAGCATCTCAAACTTTTAAAGTTAAAATAGTTTAGTCTATAAGTCTACCCCTCACCCGCCTTCTCACATACAAAGACCCAAACTACACCAAGTTACTCACCGAGCAGTCTGTGAGTGGGTCCCTCATGCTGAAATGTGTTTTGCTTCTGTCCTTTTAAACTGCGCTCCAGCCTTCAGCTTCCCACACTCGGGACGCATTGCCCTCTGAAGGCTGGGCGTGTCCTAGACTTCCTGCAGTCAAAGAGCCCAGAATCCTGTCAAGCACCCTGAGGAGGAAGCCCCACCCTGGACTTTCATCTCCTTTATTTACTGAAATAGCAAAGAACTGCTCTGGGTCAAGACAGCTGGTGTGAGATGGTGAGAAAGACTTCTGTAAATATTTAGAGGGCAGGCAGAATACTGAGCCCTCAACTGTGTGGCCTTGAGAGAAAGCCCAGAAGCTATAAAGTGTCTCTATAATTCGGACGCCCTCAGGGCTGATGAATGTTCTCTCAGCTTGCTGTACTAGTCACGTTTTTTTATTTTCTGTATCGTATGATGCTTGGACATGTTGAGGCCTTTTGGACTTGGAGAGAGAGAGAGCCTCGCTGGGTCTTCCTCTGCTGACCTTCCATACCTGCTCCACAGTCCTTGCTCTGCTCGTGACTGTCTAACTGCCTACTACAGAGAGGAAGGGTCCTTAGGGACCACCATTCGCACACTTAATAATGTTTTCCCCTTAGCTTCTCCGAAGGAAATTTATCACTGGAAGTCACGACATTAAGCAGTAGCTATTAAAGGGCTAGAATTGGACAAGCCTACCTGGCATACTGGAAGATGTGTGGAGACAAATTATAAACTGAGGTTAAAAACACATCACTCAGATTCCCGTGCCCTCAGAGGCTGTCGATAAACTGGGCTGGGGCTTTGGTTCTAGGGCCAGGGGCATCTCAGCGCCTTCCCCCTGGTTCTTACTGCATTTGGTCTCAGTTCAAAATGGAGAGATTGGCCTCCCTTGCCAGTTTCCACAAGAAATGTCATCACACCAAGCTTACTGTGGTATGTGTGGCCCTAGTGCAGATTGGTAGGATGTTCTTCCACACTTACTCCTCACTTGTCTTTCTCCCAGCAGCTGACTTGCTTTCCCACAGGCCTCATGGACATTTGCTCCATGAAAATGTCTCTATCTCAGTACAGTACCCCTCTCACAGACTGATGAAAGGGCAGCTGGGTGTCCTGGCTCAATCTAGACCGAGAATTAAGTTGGCTATTTGTTGAGCTTCTTAGAAGGGTGTTTGAATGTGCAAAGTTTTTTTTATTTTGGAGGTCAGAAAGGGGGTTGTATCACTTATCTCTTGTCATAATGATGCTATATATTAAACAGAAAATCCAGTGGCTTCAAATGACCGACTTTATTTAATTCACTAGTTTGTGGTTTAGCTGGGTGGTTCTCCTGGTCTTCCAGGTCTCATTCATGTGAAAAAGCAGGTCATCTACACAGCTCTGCTGACTTGGGCTGAGCTTGGCAGGGAGGGCAGCTCTTCTGGGCTCTGATAGGCAAGTAGTTGGTTATGGGTGGAAGCAATTTTTTTCATCAGCCAGCAGTGTAACCCAGGCTGTTCTCAGGGCATGCCAGAGGAGCCAAGGGAATGAGTGGAACTCAGGCTTGGAACTGACATGCTATCACTTCAGCCACAGTCTGCAGACCTGGCCAGCCCAGATTCAAGGGGGTGGGGAGATTCCACTCCTTAATGGGAGGAGCTGAATGTCTCATTACAAAGGGCATAGAAAGGGGCAGAGACTTGGAATTAGTTTTACATTCAGCCTATGACAATGGCCAGTCAATATTTGTTCTTGAGTGACTGCAGAGATAAGGGAGAAAGGACACTGGAAGGGGCGGCTGATACATGCCATCCTCTCCTTTCCCCAGGGCAGCCTCAGGGCACAGGCTTGGAACTTCAGCGAGATCGAGGTTAGAGAGTAAAATAAGAGGAGTTAAATTTACAGAGTCTAGATATGGATTTGGAAATAGGGGCGTTCTCCCCTCTGACCCCACATTCCACCTGCACGTACTCTGCCAAAGAACACAGCCAAGCACCCCCCTGGGGTGGAGGGCAGGGCAGGAGGAAGTGGCAGAGCAGGTTCTCCGCGTGTCTCCTGCCCCCGAGGCTCTGACTGGCAAGGGCATCTTGGCAAGGAGGCCAGAGCAGGCCAACTTGAGTAACTTGTCCTTGCCCATGGAAGAGTCCCTAGAGCCCCCCGACTCCCAGAAATGGCCCAGGGAGCCTGGGAGAAGGATGCTGAGTTCCTGTATGAGCAAGGGGGAGAAGAACTTTGTGGTTTTGGAATCAGTATTAATATCACCTTGTTTATATCTATAGGGAAGCTTCTCAGAGAAGGTACACTAGACTTGCTTTCTAAAATATTTGGTGCCCAGGGCATCCATGTGAGTTCTCTGTCCTCGGGTTTCCTCTGGCCGTTTGTTTCTGGCCTGCACTCGTTCTCTGGCTTTTTTCCAGGGCAGGCCTCCAGCGTGAGTTACTAGTTTGACCTCTCAGATACCAAACTTCCTACTTCCTTTCCCAGTTTATGCTCAGCACTGGGCTTCCTGGAGTGGCCTCTCCGCAGAAGGAAAACCTGCAATGGACTCCTGGGGTCTGGCCTGGAAGCCACTCCACTGCACCCCACCCATCCTATTTTGGGCAGCCTCTAAGGTAGTCAACAACAGGAGGACACATTTGTTAAGTGCTTATAAGGGGGTGTTGGGTATCAGTAAGTTAGCAAGAAACGGGAGCCTAAATGTAATAGAAGTTAAGGGCAGTTCAAAATTTGGTTTGGAAATTTCTTTAGTAGCCAAAGGATACAAAGAATTGAAACAGCACATACATTAAATTAATGCTGTGTATTAATGCTATGTATTAAATAGGGATCTGGTTAAATACCTTATGGTAATATAGGCTCACATTTAGAGTATTTACCATCTGCGAGGTGCTATTCTAAGTGCTTTACAAATATTAACCTATTTAATCATAATAGCAATCATTTGAGGTAGATGTATATTATTTTGATCCTTACAGTACACATAGGGAAACTGAGGCACGGGTGGTTAAGTGACGTACCCAAGGTCACATGGTTGGTGGTGACATGGCTGGGGTTCATCTGACTCCAGCGCCTCCAAGCTTGATTTCCATGCTGCACTGCCACCCAACCCGGACAGTGGGGCACAAAGCATCCAAGACATGAGGATAGAGATGAAAACATTTAGTTATAGGAACTGACTTAAAAACAGGTTGCAAAAGAATAAGTATGATTCCAGTTTGGTTCATATATATATAAAAGGGGTCTAGACACATATATACTAGACAGACAGTAACATATCTCTGAAAGTTGGGATTATGGAGGGCTCTCTAGGCCACGCATTCCTGTGTAATTTTAATATTTGAAAAAGAAGTGTTGCTTTAGAAACCAAATAAGACAAAATTTTAAAAAAGAATAACATTTATGCTCACTTTAATTTTTAAAACGGGAGAACCGATCAATGAAATGCTGACAATGGGCCTCGTTCATATCTCGAGGACCTTGCATAACGCTGTGCCTTCTACCTGGAAGTCCCGCCTTTATGTTGGCCTTACTGACTTATTTTATCTCTAATGTCCAGCTTTTGTCATTTTCCCCAGACACTGTAAGTACACTCTTGCCTTTGTCCTTCTGTATATTACACACACCTCTTTCGATTCATTTATCATCCCATTATGTTGAAATTACTTATTTAATGGTACGCAGTGTGCCTTCCACACGACTCAGCGAGCTCGGTATGGCAAAGTACCTGGAGCAAAGTAAATGTTCAATAAATAATTGTTTTCATTAGAGCGAATTCAATACTACTGAGAAAATGACCCCGTTAGCTAGCTCCTCTCCGCTACAAGGCAGGGAGCATTGTTCGGGGTTGGGCTGTATCCTCGGTTCTCAGGAAGCAGAGTTCAACACAGAGCGAAGGTAAGAGCGACCTCCTGGGCAGCAGCTCTAAAATGGCAAAGGGCTCAGATGCACTTGGGAATCTCTGACACTCTGATTAAAAATGGCCTCGGCAAGCAGGAAACTGAGAAGGGATCAGAAGAATCCCAAGAAACCACTTAGAGAACTTTCTTGGAGATTTGTTGGTTAAAAAGATATAAACAGAGGAGATAAAAAGAGTCTTGGGACCAAGAATAAAATCAGAGAGTGGTCGAATGCTAAGAATAAACTTGGGAAAGCCGGAGTCTAAAATGAACCAAGTTCTGCAAAGTGTGCCGAAAGCATCTAGAATTTTCACTACATCCGAAGCATGAGGAATGCAAAGGGACAGAACCTGGGCTCGGGCGGCTGGCGGGTGTGCGCATGGCAGGGCGGCAGGAGGGCCTTGCGAGGCTGCTGGGTTCCCGGGGCGAGTGGCTCGGGCAGAGCAGCCGGCAGCCGGCGCACCACAGCTGCGAAGCTCTTTCCTCCCAGGACGAGCCGATACGGAGGACATGCGGTTCACGGCTTCCCAAGGCCATCTCACTTCTGAGGCCTGGACAAAGTCCAGTCCTCGGCCTGTTTGATCGGACAGAGGACCAGTCCCGTCTCTGCTGCCATGTCAAGCATGTGAGAGCCACAGAAAGTACTGACAAGACATGACATCGCTCCCACCACCAATCACCCTCGGAGGGAAATGGAGAAGCAATCTCACTCTAGCTAAATGACTTTTTATTTTTAGTCTCTGGTTGCTGTAGTAATTGGTTTCCTTAATTTCCACATATCTTCAAAGCTGGAAGATACATTTGTAAAGCTTAGCCTTAATGCATATATATTTTTTTAAATGTACCTTTGTCCAAAGCCTTAGGATGGGAAAAAACCTGCCTATCCAATTTAGAAGCCCTAATGGGTGTTTTAAACTGTAGCAGGAGCAGTGGAAGCACACATAGATACTGTTATTGCTAATAGCCAGCCTAATTTGTAGCGTCTAAAGTAACTTTTATGCTGTTCGTACTAATTATATTGTGGTTTTTAAAATTGCACAAAATTAGCTTTTTACCACTTTCTGCTTCATAAGAATTACCTAAAAATTACCCAATTTTTAAATCAAAATCCAAATGGCCATAATTAACTTACTTTATATATACAAACCAGCCCTGTATTCAGTGGGTTAGGGTGAAATTTTCATT